TAATAATAATAAATAATAACAATAATAATAATAATACAAAAAATCATCACATATGAGCACAGAGAAGAAAGTGAAGGAATAAGATGTGACGTGACGTACCACCAGACAGGAACAGACGGCCCCCTGGATGGTGTCTCGACAACTTCCTCCGTTGAGGCATGGGTCCTGGTCGCACCGAATCCTCATGCTGCAGCGGTGACCTGGGGACACACAGATTTTAGTTTTAGTAAGAGAACACAAAATAAGGTCGTATAAGTGCCGAAGATTAGAGGTGTTACAAGAGAGTAACAAACACAAAAAAGAAGAAGAGGAGATAGAGACGATAAGATTTTTTTATAGGAAAGAAGGAGCAAACCACACTAGAGCACCCGACAACCACCCACGGACAGAGAGGTTGTTCCGTTAGTCGTTCATTTTATCTTTTTGCATAATATGATATGATTCAAATTCCTTAACCCTTTCCGTACGCCCTGGGGTAATTTTGCACCCCCGAGGTTGTATTCTTCACATTTTAGAATATTTCTAGCGTGAAGACCTGAGTATTTCTCAAAAAATCATTTTGACAGACTGCTATGTAAAGCGTACGGATCAGATTTACAAGTAAATTTCCACTTTGGAAAGTGGTGATAAAGAGTTCCCCACGTCGTTTGGATACGATAGTAAAACACGACGTACAGATAGCGTTAACCTCTAGGCTATGAGAGCCCCCACTTCACTTCTCACCCGGCCGCCTGGTCTGAGCCACCCAGCCAGCAGCACTCACCTGTCCATCCCGGCCGACAGTCACAGCGGAAGCTGTTGTTGAGCTGAACACAGTCCTGAGCACCGTCGGGGTCGCACGGGTTGGACAGACACTCGTTCACGTCGCCCTCGCAGTGTTTGCCAACGAAGCCCGGCGGACACACGCACTGGTAGCCTCCCACCTGAACACACACAGAGAGCAAGATGATAAGTTTTAAAATATTCGTATTATTTTACAGGTAAATAGATTTCACTTTTTCCAACCTCTGTTACCTTGCGGTGTCGAGGGGAGAAGAAAATGTTTTTCTCTTGTTTAATATAATAATAATTCAGATGATTTATACAGCGCCCACTTCTTGTGTCCCGTACATTGCAGTTTTTAGAGGAAAATAATGTTAATAATAATAA